AGCGTGGCGCGTGGGGGAGCCTGTGGGGCGTGGGGGAGAGCGTGGCGCGTGGGGGAGCCTGTGGGGCGTGGGGGAGAGCGTGGCGCGTGGGGGAGAGCGTGGCGCGTGGGGGAGAGCGTGGCGCGTGGGGGAGCCTGTGGGGCGTGGGGGAGAGCGTGGCGCGTGGGGGAGAGCGTGGCGCGTGGGGGAGACCGTGGGGCATGGAGGAGCGTGCTGAGGAGGGAGTGGCCAGAAGCGCCCAGTGGATTTGGTAGTGGTGGGGAGGAAGCAAGGAAGGGGCAGAAAGTTGTGCTTGGAGGGACTGTTGGAGGAATAAGAGGTGGTGACAGAGGGGTGGGGACATGGCAGCAAGTGGTCAACCCTTTCCAAAAGCTGGTCGTGAAGGGAGAAGGAGATGGGGATGTCGTCAGAGCAGAGTGGGTCCCGGGGTTGGGGTTCCATGTCAGTGGAGATGGAGAGGAGCAGAGGAGAGGGAGAGGTGACACAGGCGATGATTATTGCGTGGCGTTTGGAGAAGAGTGGAGGGCACAGATGGAGCGCGTTGCCTCATCCTCACAGCCGGAGAGACCTCTTCCAGCGCCAGGGGTGGGAGGTAGAGGGCGGGGAGATGGTGGTGGGTGTGTGGATGTGGGGCCAGGAACTGGGGGTTCCCCTCTGACCCCCTTGGGAGAGAGGGGCAAGCAGGGGGCTCAGTGGAGGAGTAAGGGGTTTGAAGTCTATGGGGAAGCGTGAATTTGTTGAGGAAGCCAGCGGGCCGGCGGGGCTGCGTGGTTGGTCTCTGGAGGGGCGCGCTGAGCTGAGCTGAGTGGTCAGGACTTTCCAGGAGAACAAGTCCTGTGGCTCCATGGCTTTCTCCAGCTGTGCTCAGCTGTCCTCAGACCAACAGGGAAGGAGATAATTGAGAAAGGGGCTGGGCGAAGGGTCTCAAGGAGGCTGGTGAGCCGGGGTGGGTATTGGAACTGGACACGTAGGCTGCTTGTCTGGTGAGGACAGGGGGAGGCTGAGCCATCTGAGGAAGGCCAGCTGAGGGATTCGGGGACCAGAACCCCAGTCGGGCCCTGGGCACTGCCTGTGAGTAACCAGGGTGAGCTGAAAGGGCAGGGGTCTCTGTGAGAGACGGGGAGGTTGAGGCAGGGACTTGACAGGGGGAAGCAGTTCTGGGTGATTACCAACCCCCAGGTCTGCAAAAGTGCTTCCCAGATAAGGATGTCAAGAAACTGGGTGTTGGAAGCCACTCACATGGATGGGCCACCCCTGTGGATACAAGCCCACCACGTGGAGTGGAGAGGTCTTGAACTGGGTGTGGAAGCTTCAAGCCAACTCGGGGCCTGGGTGGTCGGGAGACAGAGAGGGGCTGAGTGAGCAGGACTCTAGGGGCAGGCCTGAGCCAGAAACCTACAAAGGAGAGGCTCGAGGGCTGGGGGGCCAGGAGGAAGGAGAGGAGGCATGGAACACGGGCAGACCCCTGACCCTGGGCTGTGCTAATGGGAGGGGTGGGAGGTGGTGAGTTGGGGGACCCTGCAGGATTGCATGGAGTTAAATCCTTGCCAGCTCTTGGAGGGGAACAGTGAGCCTTCCAGGTGGCCCCCAGGAGGGCTGGAGCTGGCAGGGGCTTGTGGTGGGGCTGGAGGGGCAGAGAGTACCTGGACACCTTGCCAAGGCCTCTGGCCAGCTCAGTTGCAGTCACTTCTGATGCTTCCACAGTCAGGCCCAGGTGGGCTCCCCCCACAGCCCAGAGGCTGCTTGGAGGAGAGAGGGTTGGAATATGATGTGAGAGGCTGCAGGGCTTTGGGAGAGGGTCCCAGCTTTCAGCTCCCCAGGCCCCTGGGGGAGATGGGGGCCATGGATCACGAGGTCAGTTCAGGCACCCCCTCGTGTCCAAGTGGCTTTATTACGCCTGGAAGGGCGGGGAGAGTAGAAGGGAATGGTTTTTTTTTGCTCATTTTCCTTAAACCCTTGATGCCAGCAGCTGGCTGCCTGCGGAACAGGCCCAGGGATGAAATGCATTTGAGTTAAGGAGGCCTCAGCGTTTTACATGGGGCGTGCCCCACCCCGCTGAGGCTTCTGGGCTCCTACGGGAGAAACAGTGCAGTCGCCTTGTAGCCAGCAAAGGCACCCTCAGCTCGGGATGATTGTATCCACTCCCGGGCAGCGTGGGGAGCGCAGCCACACCCCAGAGGCTCTGGCTGCTGCACCATCGGGCTCAGGAGGGGCAGGCAGTGCCCTGACAGGGTGACCATGGCGGGGTCACATGCACCCCTCGCTCCAGCAGGCGGGCGGGCACGGGCTCCTGCGTGGGTCTCTGGCTTCCAGGTCTGTGTCTTGGCCTCTCTGGGCTTATCTCTGACCTTCTGGTCTTCCCTGTCCCCCACACACACTTCCCCTCCTCACTTTTATTTGATTTGCACAGTGCCAGGCATGCATGTGGCATTCAATAAATTCGTGTGTGAATGAATGAATGCACGACCCTTGCTTACTCTCTCCCTGTCCTCCCCTCTATGTGCCTCTGGAGTTTTCTGCAGCTTTGGGAGCATCAGGTGACTCCCCTTTGCTCCCCCTCCCCCACGCTGCCCTGGCTGGTCCTGGCCACTGCCCTTATGACCTCCGGCCCACAGTCCAGTTTAAAAGGATCAGGACCAAGTGGCTGAATGGGGAGTGGGTCTAAAGGCCGACACTGGCCATGTGTGTTGGGGGGTGCTGTGCAGCCGGTCCCGGCCTCTCACCCCTTGACTCCCCAGGCCCCCACCCACTTGCCAAACCCACAGCCCACTCCACCCTCTCTCCTCTTTCTCGACACTGGAAACCCACAGAATATTCTCTCTTAACCGACTGCTCTCAGCTTCCCTACAGGGTGCAGAGATCCGGATATCTCCTGGAGTCCTGGCCCTCCCACAGAGCAGAGACGACCAGCTCAGACGGGTGGGGGCCCAAGGGGGTGGGCAAGTCCCTGACCGCAGTGAACCACAGGCTGCTAAGATGTGCCTGACTGCACGCTGCCTGAGGACGAGAGGAGCCGCCTGGGCAGGTGCGGGGTCGGGGGGCTGCTCTGCAGCAGAAAAGAGACACTATCTCCCCTGACCCTGTATCCTCCTGCTGAGCGAGAGCCCCCAAGGAGTGGCTCAGGGGTGGCTTCTAGGACAGAGACGACGCCCTCCAGGGAGGTCAGCCAGCGGGG